GTTCGTTTTTGCCATATTGAAATTTACTTGCAATATTTCTCTCTTTCGCGTCGAAAAATATTGCGCAGAAATATCAGCAGTCATGGTCAAATGTTGATAAAGCCAAGTTTTCCTAGTGGAAATTCGTCAGGAAGATAAAAATCTGACCAGGCACGGTCGAAACGAAACTATCCGAATCGGATCCGAGTGACAGATGACTCTAATCTGCCGATAGTGCGCGATCGAGAGTCTACCTTGCAATAGAAACATGGAATTGTAGTAGGCTGCTAGAATCTAGCACAAGAGATCCAGATAAGAACCGACGCAAAAAGAACATAAGTCACGCTGACACGTAATTTCGGTGGCCGGAATGATACGCGGTAATTGTCTCGGATGTCTCACAAGTTAAGATGAAAATGTATGTGTTCGTAGAACTTTTAAAATAAATTCTCTAAAATTAATTTAATTTTCGTGACATAGATTTTGATTAAATTATATTGTATAGGTATAGGGTCTTCAAACAAAAAATAATATCCAAGCGATTTTATATATTAATTTTTTTTAATAAGTGCACTGAACTTTAAAAAGTTTTAAAATTTTAATTATAATTAAAATAATATACATAAAGTATATTAAAATAATAAAATCGATGAAAATTTAAAAAATTGAAAGATTTTTATCAAATAAAAAATCGCGAGCAAAATTCATCTTCTTTTTGTAATTTTATTTTATTTCAAGTAAAAATTCAATGTAATGTTCTTATATAAAATCGCATGTTATATGTTACTTTAATTGTCATAGATGATATGATGTTTTATAGTCTGTCATAGTTTTGCTATGATCTGTGGTTTTTCTACAAATCATAATAGAAGTATGACAGATTGAAAAACATCAAACAAAAAGAAAAATATCAAAAGATAGATATTTAAATAATATAAAATCAAAAGATAGATTTTTAAATAAAATATTCTAGCTTATACAGAAAAAACTTAGCAAAAATTTCTTGCTAAGTGTAACACCTACACCTGTGATAATTTGCTTGAAGCAAGTTTACTGCAGCGATTTAATCAACATTCAATAGTTGTTAAATCAGAATCTTTATAATTCTTATAAATTAAAAAGATATCATGTAAAATTACTAATTTTTATTTTTAATTTATACTATACTGTCCTATTAATATAATACATTGCAAGATTTATCAGGTTGAATTTGGCAATTTTTTATTATTAAAAAAAAGACAAAAGACAGAAACAAAAAACTACTGTTACTAAAGTATTACTTAGCCGAAACTTTCACAATCTTCCATTTCGAAAGAATCCTTGTAAAGGATCGCGTATATCTTCAAAGTAAACCGAAAGTACTCGTAAACAACAATCATCAATCATAGCTGCGAGAGTCATGCGGGTAGCTACGCAGCTGATTCTATACTATCGTTTTCTCCCTTGTGTTACTGGGTTACCGCACGTCCTAAAACGGAAGTGAATTCCATCCCCAACCGCACCCGCGAGTGTAGTACCGGTGAGTGCTTTTAGGCAAGGCCGCATTCGTAGGCGACGGGCTTTACGCCGATGCGATGGCACGAAATAAGCAGAATGAAACGAATAAGGGAAGAAAGGCAGTTGGAGTAAGAAGAACGTGCGCGGATAAGGAGACAGAGTGGCAGTTGAAGGAGGGGGGTTGCTGAGAACAAATGCGAAGCTCTGCTTCCATTTACGTCGGGGATTGCGAGCGTCAGGGGTTGGCACGAAGTACGGGATGGAAGAAATTCGTGGAAACACCGCGGAATTGGATAAGCCGGCGGGGTTTGTTTTGTCAGGGGTTCGCAATGAGGATAAACGTGGCGACTGTGAGATCGCGTGGTCGATGGTCATAGGCCTGAATATCGCGTGTCCCAACAAACTTTCTCTTGCTAGCTCATTCACTCGCTCGCTTACTCGTCCGTCTGCGCGGAAATCGACAATCTGCTAACCCGAGACAGGCACTCGTGTTGTTAACAAGCGCCGCCGCGCCGGATCGATGGATCGAAACTATGTTTCCCTGTTAAATTAATATTCCCTCAAAATGCTTACTTTTCACGAATGACTAAATTACCTCCTCCTCACCCCATCCTATAAGTTTGTCAGTCTTTCCTAGGAAATCATTCTTGCTATTTAGTAACTATATGAACTATTATATGACACTGTTTAATAGAATTCACGGAAATTTTGCATTGTGTTTTAAAAATTATATAAGCAGACTTTTCTTTCTTATCTGAGAAAAAGCACAAATAAAGATACTCCGTACTGAAACAATGCAATACATTTTTTTAAATGTAAATTAATAAATGTTTAGTTTACTTCACTTTTCAACCATACATAAATAGATTTTCTAACATTTCAATATTTGCCCATTTAACAGCAAAGAAAATTTAGAAACATTCATTCTTAGTGTCACTGTCATTATTATTGTCAGCTACTGTAATACTGCACGTAGTATTCCAAATCGCAATGCAATAAAGAAAAGTGGTTGCGATTAATTTTTTTAGATATTATCCTGCAATGCGATTCGCCAATCTCATTCTCCGCTGTAGAGAAAGTGCGGAAGGAGACGAGTCCTTACTCGAACTATTGTCGAGACGAGAGACGGCGATCGAAAGCCCGACAATGGAATTGCGATTATCGTCCGAGCAGGGTTGCTTGCCCTCATCAAACCCTATATACGCGAGGGCGAATCGAATGGTATGGAACACGATGAGAGACAGGGAGAGATATCAGCGAAGGAAAGAGGGAATGGAAGGGTGAGGGATGGGATTGGCACGGGGTGGAGGAGCAAGATAGAGTTAGAGAGGACCGAGCGGGAGGTACTAGGTGCTGTTTGTTGAATCCTCGAGATCAATACGACGTACCCTATCTCTTTCTCCCTCGTAATATTGCGGACGATGGCGTGCGTGACACACGTATATGTTCATGTTCCCGATACACGTCACGAAAGGCAAAGTGATGCTGTACCAAATGATCCCCGATTTTTTACGAAAGTGTTTTGTCAATCTTCGTTTCTCAATGAAAAATGGACAAAATTGTGATGTACGAATAGCTTGATTGTCCATTTTCAATTCTTTTCTATAAGATAGATTGACGCAGTGATGAACGGGAAATTTCGTGATTAATATTGTGTACATCAGTCATGCCAATTACGACAGATTGCTGCCGTGAGATTGTAGCTAGTACCTCCATTTCCGATAATTATACAAAATTCTATTTATGCAAGTTTCAACATGGAAGTGTGGTTCTTAAAAAATTGATTATTCTTCTTTTAATCCTATCTATATATAAACAATATTTATAAATATATATTTATA